ACTTTAAACTCAAAATCCCATCCTTTATATGGCATTCAAAAATCATACTCAAATATCAACATATTCTAAATCTAATTCTAACACTTCATATTCCTTAATCAAGTTAGTGACAAGTCAAATTCAACTTCCAATTCTAATTATGAACTTTATTTCAAAATTTCATTCAAGAACTCCTAATATTTAATTCTTCATGCACCTTTCATCTTGTTGTTTTAAAACAAATTAAGCTTTCCTTAAGCTTAATTAGCATCTAATGATCAAAACCAAACTTAAATTTCAACAAATAATAAGCTCATGAGAAATCTCACCTTTGTTTTGAACCTTCACGTACAAAGAAGAAGAGAGGAGAAGAGAACTCTGAAAACATTGTTTTTGTTTCCCTCACTTCCACGTGTGGCTAATATATATAACCAAACTTAATTATTTTCCTTGCAAATTACCATTTTATCCTTCTATTCCTCATTCTTTTCAATTTGGTCCTACACAACATTTTTCATATAAGTCCTTGAACTATCCAATTATTCTACTTTAATCACTAAATTTCATAACTTTACAATTTAGTCACTAATCATGTATTGAGGATGTTACAACACTGTCGTTAGTATGTTTGCAATATGGTCATTTAACTTTTCAGGCGCATACATTTAGGTCCCCCAACTTTTAAAACTTGCAGCACAGTCCTAAATTTCATTCTAAACCCAAATTCCTTTTCGATCTCAAATTTCATTTTTCGCTTCTCTCTTCTCATTTCTAGTATAAATTTTCAATCGAGGATGCATGGGAAATTATAATCTAACTTTGAATTATGTGGAGGTGTTGACTTGAATAAAAGTCCATTGAGAGAAGACCCGACCAAGGGACTATCATGACCATCAACGATTCAAGGTGTAATGTTAGATACATGTCATCTCAGGTGAAGCATAGATGTTCGATGAAATGCTTGTGAGAAAAAAATAGGGTTAGAAATACAGAGTTGACAAATACTACTAAGATGAACTAAGTATCATTGTTGAAAGTCATCAACAAAGCTGAAATTATTTTGTATAAATGGCTTATAATAATTTCTTTGTTTAATCCTTGTTCTTAAAGATTTTCCAACATATGATCAAATATAATGAAATCCCAAACAGTGCATTCACCTCTCGTTTGGTTTTTGTTCTTCAATTTTCTGCCATGTAAAATTGTAAACCCAAGCAGTTCTCAGTCTTTCAGCTTTTTATTTACAAAGAAAAAATGGAGGAAGAATTGCTTGAACGCAACAACAATTGCGTTTATTTCTTAGCCTCTCCCCTCACTTGCAAGAAGGTATTTATTTTCTCTTTTGGGCTATCCAGAAGTAAGCTTTTCCTCTTTCGCACTTTCCCATTTTCAGCTCGCATTGTTGTTTTTTTTGTTGAATTTTTTATGTTTCTAGAACTGCATATCAATGATCTGAATATTCAGTGTTAGTTTTGAACCAAAACCATCTAATTTTCTTTCTTTCTTCTTAATCAAAACTTTTAGTACTCCTTATGAAAGATATTCAGTCCATTAGAATATAAGTGAAATAGGGTCCCAGGCTAAATTTTTTGATCTTCTTGTTTGGTTTTTCTTTAAATCAGGGAACTGGTTGTGAGTATCGACATAGTGAAATCGCCAGGCTCAATCCGAGAGACTACTGATACTAGTTTATTGGGAATTGTATTGATCAAACCTGTGGTTTTCGGCGTCCTGTGAGCTCGTATTATTTTTAATAAGTTCATGTTGATTATGAGACTAATATAACGTGAACAAATTAATTTTTTTACATGTTTTGGAAATTTTACAGTTGAATTGTACTGAATTATAGCTTTAGAAGATAATTTTGCATGCACGCAACTCGAAATGCATCATAACAACGTAATATATTTGGAGCAGTTACTTGACCCTGTCATGATGCCTTTCGAGTTACGAAAGAGACTGAGAGGTGAATGTGTTGTTTGAGATTTCATTATATTTGATCATCTGTTGGAAAAACTTTAAGCACAATGATTAAATGAAGAAATTATTTTATGTCATTTATACAAAATAATTACAGCTTTGTTGGTGACTTTCAACAATGATACTTACTTCATCTTAGTAGTATTTGTCAACTCTGCATTTCTAACCCCATTTTTTCTCATAAGCATTTCATGGAACATCTATGCTTCACCTGAGATAACTTGTATCTTACATTACACCTTGAATCATTGATGGTCCCGATAGTCTTTTGGTCGGTTATTCTCTCAATAGACCCTTATTCAAGTCATCACCTCTACATAATTCAAAGTTAGATTAGAAATTCTCATGCATCCTCAACTGGAAAGTTACGCTGGAAATGAGAAGATAGAAGCGAAAAAGGAAATTCGAGATCGAAAAGGAATTTGGGGTTTAGAATGAAATTTAGGATTGTGTTGCAAGTTTTAAAAGTTAGGGGACCTAAATGCAAGTGCCTGAAAAGTTCAGTGATCATATTACAAACGTACTAACGGCAGTGTAATGGCGTCAAACGGTCGGTGACCATATTGCAAACAGACTAAATGTTGGGGGACCATATTGCAAACAGACTAAATGTTGGAGGATTGTATTGCAAGTTTTAAAAGTTGAGCGATCTAAATGAAAGCTTTAGAAAAATTCAGTGATCATTAATATACTTTACCCTTAATTTAAATATTATTAAACTTTAACCAAATTAATCTCTAATAATTTACACTCTGTTTTGTTCCATTTACGGTGTTACAAACCCGACGGCTCAAATTTTACCGCATTGATGTCTATAGAAAATCAAAGGAAAATTACTCCCAAAAAAGAAGAGAGAGAGAGAGAGAGAACTCACCATCTTCAATCTCTTAATTAAAACTCTGCAGCTTTCTTCAGCGCAAATCCAGGGGTTTCTTTTTTTGAGCATTTTTCCCCGTTTTCTTCCTCTCTTGTTTGGCTGCTTCCTGTCCTTCGATTTATCCATATTTTTTCTTTGAACTTCTATCTTGTAAGAGTTGTCGAATTTAATCTTATTTTCTCTGATCTTGCACGTTTCCTCCTACAAAATAGGTAATATATATTAGTAGTACTTTTGCTAGTGTCTGAGTTTTCTTCTTATTCTCTATTTTATTTGTTATTTGTGTTCATAGTTCCATTGAGGAATTTTTTTTTCTTTTTTTTATAGGAAGTGAGGTTTTCTAAATTATAGATATATTTCTTTCTCCCTATCTTTTAAATTTCTCTAAGATCTATATCTGTTACAAAATAAAACTTTATTTTGTTTGAGTTTTACTTTCACTCAGGGCCGACCCTGGGCATAGACCAAGGGGCGACCGCCTAGGGCCCCAAGCTTAGAGGAGCCCATTTTTAAAATTATTTTTAAGTTTAATAATTAAAAATATTTTTAAACATATTTTTTTATTTCAAATATTTTAAAATATGGTAATTTAGTGGGCTCCAATAATTAAAAAATATTTTTAAACATCATTTTTTTATTTAAAAAACTCGAAAATATGATAATTCAGTGAGCCCTATTTTAATAATGGGAGATATCTAAATATAGATCTTATTATCTTCTTATCCTCACATCTTTTGGCCTATGACTCTTAAAATGTCAGGACCGGCCTGCTTCCACTGAGCTTGAATTATTATTGATCCTTTTGTTTATTTCGTTGCCCTTTTACTGCAGATCTTTGTTATCTCAATATGAGTATTCCTGTTTGATTTTAACTACTATTTCATCGTTCTTTATGGCAGGTTAAAGGCTTGGATTTGTTTTACAATAGTCACTTCGAGATTGAATCAAAGATTAACAAAATGCCGTGGTCCTTCGTCAATTGTGTTCGTTTAGTGGTTTTCTTTCTTGTAATTATGTAATTTTTATTTGTTTTCTTGGTAAGTTCTCTAAATCCGACAATTTCTGTTGATTGTTTACCTGCCTTATAATTTCCAGAATAAAAACGAGATTTACATTGTGATGTGTATCATGTCTCTATTGGCTGATTTTTTTGAAGGAATTATTCTACTGTTGTAGGTTAATTTCAATTGAAATTTGAAAGGGGATTCAGTTCAGTCAACTTAGTGCTGTTGGAAATTGGAAAATTTTAGGTTGGAGGTTTGAGAATGTACATTTCGGTAACCATAAAGAGATATAGAGCAATTAAGGAAGTTGGGAAGATTAAAATGAGCGTTGCCGTTATTGCGTACTATAAACTAGTTCAAGTTTGCGAGGTAAGTTTTCTCGTTTCAAATTTCATGTTGCTGTTTCATCCTGTTATTTATGTTCGTCCTTGAAATTGTATGCTGTCTTAGATAAATCTATTGCCATGTCAGATATGTTCCCATTGCTAATGTTGTAGCATGCCTGGATTAGGTTGAATGTGCCTCTTGATTTGTAGTTTGTCAATTGGCTGATTGGAAAAATCTGTCTTGTTAAAGCCATCAAGCAACTGAATTGTAACATGCATAACACGAGGATATACATATATTTACAATTGTTATAGTTCAAAAGAAGAAGTTATTTTCAAATTTGAGTAATGCGAGACCTTTTTCATTCGTATCTTTCCTGTTGTGGATTTCTAATTGTGAGCACAACTAATCCGATTCTGTACATAAACTAAACATATAAACTTTAGACCATTTTAATGTGCTTCCTTATGAAATAGAAATTTTAGAAGGGATTCCGAAACACCAAACAGGACTGAAGTTTTGATTCTTACGGTTGACAATCATCTTTTTTGTTTTCGCTGCACATATTACCTCTGCAATTCTTATGGTTATATTGACTTCCCATATGCTATTGCAGGCTGAGTATTTCCGTCAGTTGCTTAAACCTGTTACGTAGTCTGGTGTTAGAGAACTCTTGGAAATTGGGATCTGGGTTAGTATTGTTTAGTTGTGTTATGTGTAAGACCGACAAAATGAAAAATCTGATTGTGTTCATGGAAATATGGGATAGGTAGCTCTGTCATGTTGTAATGGCAATCCAGTAAAGTATTTTTGTCTCACCAAAATAATATAGTTAAAGCCTCCTTCCTACTGAAAAGTTGGATAATTGCACGTTTAAAGCCAAGAAGCATCTTTGTTGTGAACCTTTTAGCTAAGTAGAAATTTCGATGCAGAGTCATCAACAGCTTTACCCCCCAAAAGCGGTGCCCACATTTGCAGATCAAGTGGGTGATAATTACATGCATATCCCAGTTGCATCTGTTTTTGGTACTGTTTTTCGTCCATGTGCTAAGCCATTGCCACCTCTCCATGGCATCGAGTTTCAATCCTCGGAGACTTGTCCCAAGGATTTCATTTTCTTCAACCAGACTGATCATAGAAGCCAGATCATGTTCAATCCTGCTGTTGCAAACAATTTAAATGGTCCTGGATTAAATGGTTTAGCAAATTACATAGATGGAAGGTATGTCATAAAAAATGAGACCTCATCTTCTTTGAAAGAGGATTCAGATGACATTGATGCACTCCTCAACTCAGAAGAGGAGGAACAAGAAGATTATGATGAAGTTAGCACTGCACGGACTTGTGGTAATTATGAAATTGATTCTGATTCTCACTCTGTCTATGGTTCAAACCCAAGAAAGAGCTCTTCTACTCTGAAATCTTCTGGTAGGGGTGGCTTTTGTGATCCTGAAAAGCGACTGAAAATGAAGAAAATGATTAAGGCGTTAAGGGGAATTGTTCCGGGTGCAGGTGAGTGAGTACTGTAGCAGTTCTTGAAGAAGCGGTTCGGTACCTCAAGTCTCTCAAGGTTGAAGCAAAGAAGCTTGGAGTTGAGAGTTTCAAGAATGGAAATTAAACTCGTTTTGTGGTAATGATTTCCTCAACTTCTAAAATTCAAGTTTATCATGTGTTGCATACCCTTCTCTGTCCGGCTCTGATGGTCTGCAGTCCAGAGATGAAGAAGACAGGTATTTAGAATTAATGTTTGTGTTTTAGTTTCCAGTTATGCATGTATTAATGGTGTGCCAGGGCATGGATTGCTGCTTAAACTTCTGTTCCCTTGGAAGGAAGTTAGGATGGAATTTGTCTTTGTAATATGGCTACTAAGTTCTCAGTTGCCATCATCTTTATAGCACAACTAGCTGCTTTGAATGGTAACGGCATGTACTTTAAAATATTCACTATTAGTTCCTCCTCTGCATGATTTCATATTCCACTTGCTTTTTTGTTTATTCCATGTTGCAGCTACATGTTACCTACCTGGTGAGCACTGATTACCTTTTGTGAGATCCACTTTACTCAGAGTTTCGTCTTTGTTTGATGCCATTCCTTTGCCTTTTTATATATATAGGGTTAGTCTCAATATACCAATTATTTTACTAAACTTTCCCATTTGTTTTTTATTAAAACACCAAAAGATTAATGTAATAATTATGTTTTTTATTTTTTTATTAAAGCTTTTTATCATTATGTAATAATGATGTCTTTTTTTATTTTTTATTAAAGTTTTCTATTAAGGTCTTTTTCATTATTAAAGTTTTCTATTAAATTATTTTTCATTTATTTCTTTAACATGGTAATAATTTTTTTTGTTATCTTTTATACTTATTTAATTATACATATTGCCTCGAAAGAACAAGTAAAAAAAACATATTATACTTTTAGTTGCAAAGTAACCCAAGCACACAAAAAACTGGAAAAACAAAGATAACCGAAGACTAATACATTGAAAAAGTGTAATTTTATTGCTTTCTCTGTTTTTGAATTCTGAAATTACACTTCTTTTTTTTTCGTATTCATTTCCCTCTTTTCGAATGATTTTCCCAAAGAAAGGCCCCACGATTTAGTCTATGCCCCAGTCTGTTGAAGAGCCCCCTTTGTTTTCGTGTTTTCTGCTTGCTTCCACCCTTCGAATCGTTCGAATGCCTCTATTTATAATGAGTTTTTTGGTTGCTTTTGTAATGGATTCCCCACTAGTTGATAAATAATGGTAGAGTAGCTTTTTGAATGTGAGTGGGATGTGTTGGAAGCCATGGGCAGCTCGTTTGGTGTTGTGCAGGTGAGTGAGATGTTTTGCAGGTAAAAGAAATTGCACTACTAAACTTACCAGGTCAAACCAGCTGTAAGCACCATTTCTTTTACCTGCAAAACATTCCACTCACCTGCACAACACCCAATGAGCTGCCCATGGCTTTCAACACATCCCACTCACCTGCAAAAAGCTACTCTACCATTATTTATCAACTAGTGGGGAATCCATTACAAAAGCAACCCAAAAACTCATTATAAATAGAGGCATTCGAACGATTCGAAGGGAGGAAGCAAGCAAAAAACATGAAAACAAAGGGGGCTCTTCAACAGACTGGGGCATAGCCTAAATTGTGGGGTCTTTCTTTGGGAAAATCATTCGAAAAGAGGGAAATGAATACGAAAGAAAAAGAAGTGTAATTTCAGAATTCAAAAACAGAGAAAACAATAAAATTACACATTTTCAATGTATTAGTCTTCGGTTATCTTTTTTTTTTTTAGTTTTGTATGTGCTTGGGTTACTTTGCAACTAAAAGTATAATGTATTTTTTTATTTGTTATTTCGAGGCAATATGTATAATTAAATAAATATAAAAGATAACAAAAATTAAAAAAAAATATTACCATGTTGAAAAATTAAATGAAAAATACTTTAAAAGAAAACTTTAACAATAAAAAAATCTTAATAAAAAACTTTAATAAAAAAGACATCATTATGATAAAAAGCTTTAATAAAAGAATGGAAAAAACATAATCATTACATTAATCTTTTGGTGTTTTAATAAAAAAAACATAATCATTTTATTAATCTTTTTGGTAGGTTTAATAAAAAAATTGATATATTTAGACTAACCCATATATATATATATATATATATATATATATATATATATATATATATATATATATTATCATGGTATTTTACCCCCACCGTATCACTGTAGAATTTTGATGGCAGACAAGAGACACATGCTGCTCTACATTTATGTGGTACCGAATCCGGTTTGAATATATTTTGTTCATCAGTATCCGAGCACCAGTTGCATAGATCTCTGTCAGTCCTGATTCCTTTATACATAATATGCGTTGATATTAAGAAACATGAGTGCTCATTGTCATGCATGCATGGTTCTCTTTTTTGTACACCTTTGCCAGCTAGTGCTGTTAGTGGCGCACCAACACGGCCTTCTATATGTTTTCCAACTCCTGCCAAGTTTCGTGCCTGTTGGTCCCACTTCTTTTATATATTTTTTATTTAATTACGATCAAAATTTTTGAGAGGCGTGTATATAATTTTTTTTATTTAACTAAGTCACTAAAATTAAAATTAAATTATTGATTTTTAATTGAACGAAGTGTTTAATTTAATAAAGTGGGACCAAATTTCATGCCTGCCTCTTGAGTGTCAAAAACAGAATATAGAGTATATAAATCAGAAGGTTTTGAAGAACTTAAAGAGTTTAATGAAAATTTCTTAGAAAAATTAACAAACTCGAAACACTTTCAAATGAATTTGTTGCTCTTATTTAACAATGTTATAAATTGATACTTAACACTAATTTCGTATAATTTATTGAATGAGTTCAATAATAAAATATTATTTTTGAAAAAACTTCAAATTCTAACAGGTATGTATACAAATTGTGTGGGTGCTTTAGACGTAACTTTAATTTACTGCTAAATATGCATTTATTTATATTAACGATTCAGTCAAGTTTCCGTTAGATATACCACCCTTCGCTTGCAGAATACCCTTAAAACATTTTTATATCAATCAAACAGAACAATATAATGTAGAGAAAATAACGTCAGTGACCAAAAATCCTAGATAATATACGATTTTGACTAATTTTTTTTGGATTTACGAAAATGACCAACAAAATCGCAATCCGATCTCTAATTTGCATTGCGATCTCCACCATCGCAAATTCGCGTTGCATTTCACGTTGCGATAGTTGAAAATCACGTTGCGCTTTTCCATTTCGCGTTGCGATAGTTGAAAATCGCGTTGCGATTTTCCATTTCGCGTTGCGATAGTCTACAGTTGTCGTTGCGATTTTCCAAATTCGTTGCGATAGTCTACAGTTGTCGTTGCAATAGTCTACAGTTGTCGTTGCGATTTTCCAAATTCGTTGTGATAGTTAAAAAAAAGATTTTGTTTCTTAAGAATTTTCTCTAAAAAGATAGTATCCGCACGGACGTGTCGAAGACACGTATTACCACGACCACGACCACGACCACGACCACGACCCGAGACGAGACGAGACGAGACGAGACGAGACAGACGGCGCGCGAGAGTCCCCCTTGTTTTCTATCACTCAACAAGGAAGTGAGAAAGCCAAGTCTTAAATACCATTCCCAATAGTGTTTCCAATACTATGTGGGATTGAGCATTACCAACACTTGTTTCCAATACAATGAGATTATTCAGGAAACAATTAACAATCATTCACCTTAAAACAACTGAATCAGCAACTAATTGTATTAGTATTATACAATTAAATATGTCATAATTAAAAGTCAATCTACAATCAATCGCGATTATTGCAATTTTAAGCAAAACATTCAAAAATAATATCACTATTTAAGGCTCAATCCCACATAGTATTGGGAACAAGTGTTGGTAATGCTCAAATCCCACATAGTATTGGAAACACTATTGGGAATGATATTTAAGGCTTGGCTTTCCCACTTTCTTGTTGAGTGATAGAGAACAAGGGGTACTCTCGCGCCGTCGCCGCCGCCGTCCGTCTCGTCTCGGGTCGTGGTCGTAATCGTGGTAATACGTGTCTTCGACACGTCCAAGCGGATACTATCTTTTTAGAGAAAATTATTAAGAAACAAAATCTTTTTTTTAACTATCACAATGAATTTTCGCAACGAATTTGGAAAATCACAACGAATTTAGAAAATCGCAACGAATTTGGAAAATCGCAACGACTGTAGACTATCGCAACACGAAATGAAAAATCGCAACGCGATTTTCAACTATTGCAACGCGAAATGGAAAATCGCAACACGATTTTCAACTATCGCAACGCGAAATGCAACGCGAATTTGCGATAGTGGAGATCGCAATGCGAATTAGAGATCGCATTGCGATTTTGTTGGTCATTTTCGTAAATCCAAAAAAAGTTGGTCAAAATCGTATATTATCTGGGATTTTTGGTCACTGAGGTTATTTTCTCTATAATGTAAAGTACACAAATAATTCTTCGACGGTAGAAAGATGTTTTGTTGAGTCATTTGACTATTAAAAGTTATAAAATGATATTCCGATTATAAGATTTTATTTTATTGAATCTTCCGAGTATTAAAAGTTACAAAATGGTAACTCAACCATTCATATGTTTCAAAACCATCCTTTTTCGTTAATAAATTGACATTATTCTGAGTTGGACGTTAACCTATTGACCGAGATATGATAAAATTGTATTTTAATGATATTTATTGGAACCACCATTTCTTTCAAGCACTGACTCGTCAGCATCCGTTTCAAACATTGGCTCGACGACATAATGTAACCAAATATCCACAAAATATAGTTAAAATGATTTGGGGGTTAAATTTTATCATATCACACTCAACAATTTAACTTTCATTTTAGACGACCGTCAATTTTTTAATAGAAAATAATAAATTTAGAATATACGAATAATCGCGTGATAATTTTGCAATTTTTAATAGTTAGAGGACTCAACAAAGTAGCATCTTATAATTGGGGGATCGTTTTATAATTTTTAATAATAAGAGGATTCAATAAAATTGTGTCCTATAGTTAAGAGATCATTTATGTACTTTACCCAACAATATATTAGTGTCATATACTCCCTTTCTACTAGTTTCTAGATTAAATTTTGCATACATATATTTAATGGAAATTTTTGGATGGACTGCCTAACAATTAGTGGTAGGTTTTGGTTACATAGTTTATGGGCTTCCTTAAAATTTTGAAAATATGTAAAGGTTTAAATTCAATTTTTTTAAATATTTTTTAATAGTTTATTTTTTTATTATTTGTTTAAAATTTTGGAGTCTGCATTAAATTTTCAAGATTTAATGATAATTTTTGCAAATTTTAAGAAGAGTTTAATTGAAATTAGTTAAAAAAATATGAAAAGAAAAAAACTGGACTGGACAACATTCATAATATTGTACATTTTCTTTAACGGCCATTTGATACATTTA